TAAGTCGCATAAAATTAGGAATTGGTTTGTGTCACTCTCCTGCAGGATTAATTCCCACGATTAATTTTTATTAATAATGAATATTATGAATAATGTGAATAATGTTTAGATCTATACGATCCTGTGATAAGAATGGGGCTTAAAAAGGCTATAAGGGTAATAAGTATAACGTTCTTTATCAGCAGTTTTATCCAAATTCATATGTCATAGGGGGACTTGGAATTCCTAGATCATTGAGATCGGTAACTTTTTTACTTCGTAGTACCGATCGTTGAATCTAAAGAGGCTTTAATTTTACTAAAAAATGGCAAAATATATTCAGTATTTGGGCCTTACAACCGAAACGGAGTTGTTTTGTTAAGTATGTTCTGGCAGTGTTAGAGTAACACAATTACTAATCATGTAACTTTTTTTTCTGGCAGGTTTTTTAGATCTAACGAATGTGAAGTATAAAAATAAGCGGTTTGCCCATAAGGTAAGTTAGCAATAACATTGCTCTCATATATATTTTTTGCCGTGTCGGCTTCTCTGAAAAATTTTTCATATTCGCAATTTACTTCCAAGATTCGGTTATCATATATTGTTTATACGAGATTTTTTATTTCTAAAGTTAATTTCTACTTACTATAGGTTCTTTATATATTTCTTGCAGAGTCCCCCAAAATGACAATTATTAATCTTAACTGTCTCGTCAGTGGTAGCAGTGAAAATGAAACTTTTACGATTGAGATTTCTAATGACAAAAAGTATGAATTGCTCAAACATATGGTAAAAAAATGCTTAGCACCTTTATTTGATTCCATTCCTTCTACTCAAATCACCCTTCGTTTATCTGCTAATAGTCCGATTTATAAACCAATGGTTAGAATTTCTATAGACTTCACTGATAGCCCTGATGAAAATGGCCTTCATATTTACGTAGACCCTCCAAGAAATTAATTTTTTTTTTAATTTATATTTTTATTAAATAGTAATTTTTTTTTATTTGTATTCGCACCTATAATAGCGATTATTTTTTTTTATTTGTATATTGTCATTCTAGCAATAATTTTTATAAAATAAAGAGAGGAGTTTCGTGCCCCTGCCATTTTTTATTTTAATGCGATTTTTATGAAATAAAGACCATTCATAGCACGTCATGCTTCTAACTGACTTTATCTCCCCCACCAATTCACACCACCTGGCCATTCGTATAAATTAGTCTTTCCATATAAATGCGAAATAACTCCCAAAAGTGTAATTTCGAATTTTGATTAAATTAAGCTTAGCTACTTATTTGTAAATCGTGAATGATTACCAGTAGATCGATCGGCCCTTGGTTCATACTAATCATACCACTTATATAATTGATGTGCTATAATGATTATTATTTTCATTTAAGATCGCTCAGTCCAAAATGCTTCAGTTGAGTTGTAGTTGAGTCGCGGTTGAATTTTTCTTATATAATTATATGAAAAAAAGTCATACCTCAGTTGAGTCGCGGTTGAGACGCGTTAGAATCTTAGCGATGTGGACTGACGATCTAACTCTTTATTGATATGATAAATACATAATAATAATATATATATTATCGTTTAATCATGATTTCTTGTCATAGACAAGGTCATACAGTGACTATGCTTCTGCTACAATACCTTTATCTGGTAAAATAAGGACATGATTCCAAGGGATAGGTGATGTGAAGCATCGAGTTTTTAACTCTTGAATCAGTTCCGAATTACCAGAATATGCTTTTAGTACATCATCGTATGGAATTCCTGGCTCTTTTAAATTAGTGCAATGTAAATAATATGTATTTTTACTTCGACTATCTAGCCACCACTTACCATCTAAACTCATATAATTTTCTTTACATAGTGGACAATGTGGACCGAGAACCCAATAGGAATCAGTTTGATGCTCACTTTTAGTATCAATACTATAATTTTTATCTAACTTTGGTGAGTTAGTAAAATGTGAGGTTAGTTTATTAATAACTGGATTACGCATCTCTTTTGATATCTTTTTCTTGAATAGGAAGAGTTTTGGAGGGTCATAGGAGGCTTTTGGCTGTGCTAATTCTGCTGAAATTTGAAGCTTGGGCTGAGATATAGTTAGTATACTCACCTCAATTTTCGGTAAAGTTTTCTCATCTACATCAGTTTTAGGTAAGTCATCTGAAGAATTGTCCTGGTTATCGATGAATTCTTTGGTGGAATTTTTAGTAAAATGATCAATAATCGTTTGAATCTGTTCATTGGTAAATTTTGAAATAGCATTCGCGCTATATGACTTAATATATTTTACTTTATCTAAACCTATTTTTTCGAATAACCTGTAAATTTTTCTAGCTCTTTGTGTTTGTTTATGTAATGTATTACGTTTAGTATCAAGCTGTGCAATAATAAAATTATAGATTTGTCCTTTTGCTTTTTTCTCACCAACCTGCCCATTTTTCATAATGTTTTTAACTTGATTATCGAACTCAATAACGTAATGGTACCAGCATAAAATTTCATCTTGATTGGCCTTTATTGCTTGTTTTTCCGCATCACAAGCTTTCTGATATAAGGTGCCAAATTTAGTAAAATTTTGCTTCTTGATACAGAAAGTATAGTTATATCACTTACATGATTTTCGCTGACCTGATTCGAATTTTGGGTCAGCAAAATTTCAGTCACATGATCTTGGGTAGATGGGAATGCATCATCCTGTCTATTACCTGCAGATATTTCTTGAATTAAGCTTGTTCTTTCTTTTGCTCATAAGAAATAGTGGGTGCAATATTTTGGGAATTTGAAGGTATCTCTTGAGAAATTGCTTCACATTGAAGTTTCTTTTCCCTATTGCGTTGCCTTATTTTATTAGCAACATTTTCTTTATATATTATTTCTACGAATTCAAGGGTACTAGCCAAATCATCATCAACAATATCTTGTTGTGAAGACGTTATGGATGTCATAAGCTCTGTTGGAGATTCAAATAAATATTTAGACTCACCTTTCTGGAGCTGGGTGGAATCGGTAATAATAGATTTCTTA